GGAGGGATTGCAGTTTTTGCGACATTGCGATGGAGTTCAGGTAATGACTTTGAACAGCTCGGTGTCGGACTCTTCAATCTCACCAAAGTACTTCTCGAGAAGGTCCGGATTGTCATGAAGAACGACGTTGCCTTCCAAGGAGTCACTGGAAAGCGCGGAACACAGCACGGACTTGATGAAGCGCGCGGTGCTAAAGCTGCACTCGCATTCTGCGCTGCTTGCCGGGATAGCCAGAACAAACGAGGCAAGCTTTGCGAGCAGTGGGAACTTGCTTGCCCTGGACTTCCAGTAGCCGAGAATGTCAAAGTACACGTAAGTGTCCTTGTCCTCATTGTTTGGAAACAGACAGCTTTCAAGCATTTCTTTGGTAGACAGCTTCTCTTCCAACTAGCATCGCAGCTTCTTTTCGAGCATGTCTTGCGTAGATTCGGCGGTGGGTCGATCTGCCGCACCCTCACCATCTCCCGTGCTTGTCCGTGGCGCAAACGATATGAAAGATGGCAGTCGCACACCTTCCATGGCCACCTCATCCAGCCCGGCCTCCGTCTCTTGGTGCAGCAGATTGGGAAATGCCGCAGCCATATTCCCCATGTGAGCCAGTGTCGCTGCACGTACGCCATCTTGGTCGGCTGCCACCACTTTGGAAAGCGGATGCAAAAGGTACGCAACCTCATGAATGAAATCGGGGACAAACTTGTTCGATATGTTTGCTTTCAATTTAGCAATCACCGCGCGCATATTGTGCTTCGTTGCCGCAGGTGCAAATTTAATATCATTATGTTTTTGGGGCAGTTGGGACTTAAAGTAAGAGACAAGATGCAGAGTCGGGCGGTCACGAATCTGCAGCAAGTCAATTGCTCTTGAACACCCCCATGACACCAGCGCTAGCACATAGTCCCACGACGTACCCCGCGTAGCTCCCTGGCTGAGCTGCTCAAGCAATGCAATGCGCTCCTCATCGTGTTGAGAGTGAAGAAACGCCTCAATCTCGCTGCGATTGCGCAATATGCTCTCTAGCATCGACAAATGGCTGTTCCAGCGGACATCAATTGCAGACTGCAAGATCGAGGGGAGTACAGCAGCTTGTCCACACTTTCGAAAGTATGTAACTAAATCGGACGCACTTACAAATATGGTGGGGATGTGGGCTGAGACACCACTATCCTTGTGCACAAACGTGTCTTTCAGCACAGTCTGCAGTCTGTGGCAGGCGCAGCGCAGCCCGTTGAAGCAAGAAAGCATCGCGGATTCAGAATCACTGGTGAAGATGGCTCTGATATCGGCCCCTGGCATTTTGAAACGGTCCCGAAAGAGCCCACAAAACTGATTCTCGATGTTAGCGGCGCTATGCGTAGCAGTGGG